TCCAAGTTCAAAATCGAAAGTTCAAGTTTACAATGCAGAGTCACCAGTTTAGCTGACAGAAAAATAGATTTATGAGAGAGACCAGCTGGACTGCAACCCCAGTTACACTTACTGTAATTGCTCTTCTCCGAGGAGTGTTTTATTGCAAGTTTCCCACCTTTAGAGGTTGCTGAGCAAGAAAGAAAGCCCACTGCATGGGCTTAGAAGGAGACAAGAAGGGTAGCTTCTTCCACATGTGACACTTGGAGGGAAAGCACCAAACAAACTCAGTGGGTTTCAATAGGTGGGGATCCCTGCAAGCATTTTCATGCCTTAGACCTAAACTTCCTCTGAGCTCTGGCAGGAGCAGAACAACCCTGTGCAAAGTCTTGAAAATGCTACTCTGAGTTTTAATTTGCATTTGTATGCACATATTTGCATGTACACGCATGCACATAAAACTTGCATTTTCATTATATATATGTATTATATACTTACATAATGTAGTCATCATTCGTATTACTAAGCGGAATTTTAACAAGAAGTTAACTTTCACAATGCAATTCACTGCTATCTCTGCAGTTATGATTGTACTGCAGTGGATCTGTAAACCTTTCTTGTGGATATGCAGTGATCATATAAAAACCACTGCTTGAGGCTGGTTACATTCACCAATTACACTGTTCTATTAATTCCTTTTTCTGTAAGATTGGGCACTGAAAGCACATAAATTAAACTCCTGCGTTTTCTCAATAAAATCCCTTTCAGGATCAAGATTAGATATGCCTTCCATGCTAAAATGTTATTTAAAATGACCCTTTCAGTTCACTTCTCACTTCCAATGTGTGATATATGGGGCATAGCCACATTTGTTTGCTGTTCCTATCAGACTTTGAAAACTCTGCAGAAAAGACAACCCACATTTTTAAAAACAAATTTCTAGAAATCTGTCATGGAGGAGAAATGCACTAGGTGGAAGGTGTTCAGTGGGTGCACATGAGAGATAGCCAGGAGAGTCAAAAGGAATACTGAAGCATAAGAAGGGACATGAAAGTGTAAAAACACAGCAATGAAATTAAACTCAAGTTAAGGAGAATGAGTCCTCCAGACTGGAGAGCGCTCTTTCAGGAATAGCCAAGGTAGACTGGGATGAACACACTAAACAGTGTTATCACACTGCTGTACAACGTGACAGGGTTAATGCATGTCATCGTGACTTGAAAGAAGATTCTCACACTCCCACAAATTTGGGAGCAAGTATACTTACAGGGAAAGTGTACAGAGCCACTGTGGCTGCTAGTGATGCTATCTCTGTTTTGGGAGGAAGAGGTCTTTCAAGCTCATGACCAAATTTCTTCTGCCACTTACTTCTCTGCAGCAAAGTCAGACTCACATTCAAAACATAATCTAATGTTAATTGTAGTTACTATGATGGGATGGATTCAATATTTGGACTTTACCACGATCAGAAAAGAATGAAAGTTACCATCAGTAATTGGTTTTGTTTGTATAAACTGGATGCTATCAGAAAGCAAAAAGTAAATATGTTTAATAATAATGAGTGGTGAGGCTGTCCCTGGTTGCCTAGGAAATGTAGCAAATTCTTTTTCAAACTAGCCACGGGGTCAGACAATAGAAATTATAGTCTGAATTATTCTGCACTGCCATTAAAAAAACGAGCTGGGAACAATTTTGTGACAACTCCTTTGTAAAGATTCCACAACAGTTGGTGGAGAAACAATAGGGGGTTTTATCATTGTTTTCCATAGCTCCTGGAAAAAGCTGTAGCCATTCAGCCTGCAAATACCACAAATACATACAAATGTATGAGATGCAAGCATATACAAATATTTGGGTACAGTATCAACAATAATTATAAAGTTAAGCCTCTGTGTTCTTGGACTTGACATTCCAAAGACCTCCCTAGGAGAACATGAATATTGTATCCTATGGACTATCTCACCTGAAATCAGAAAGATATAGGTTTATAATCTCTTGAATTGAAAGACTGCTACTAGAATGAGAACTACTAGATACGGAAAAATTTAACCACTTGCACAGAAAAAGAACGATTTGCAGACTTGGAGCTTCACAAGTTTCTTTGAGCTACACACAGTTTCAGATACTTTATTTGCTGGGAATTAACTGTAGAGCAACAGTAATAATTTCCTATTCTGGGACAAAGCTGGTTTAATATTTGTGTCAAATCAATACTGCAGATAATTAACTTTCATCTGGTTCTGCTCCTCTCTAGATGTCCTCATCAATGTATGACCACAGGTTTTATATAAACTTTCCTATGCTAGCCAGATGATGACTGTGAAAATTCTTTCATCACAACAAACTTTCTACCTTGGAGTGCATGAGTAATAACAAAGCCTGTCCTGGTGACAGCAAAGCATTTCAGTTTGTTCATCCACACACCACCTTGAGTATGCCTGAGACTTCAAAATTTGACTGCTTAGTAAAAACGCTTCCTATAATCTGATTTTACTTTCTATCTACCAGACTCTGGTCAAACCCCTGTATGTCTGGCATATAGAAAACCAGACACATACAAACAGGTCAGATATTCTGAACACATGAAAATAACAACGGGTTCCGTCAATTCAAAATTACCAGGAACTTCTTCGTGATAGTCTGAAAGTGCCCATTGCTGTACTACACATAAACCTGCAGAATGAATGTAATACAGGGCATATATCAAGTATCACAGAGGTTCTCAATATTCCATGAAGGCATTTAGTCACACTCAAAGGCAACACTTAGGTACTACCTTTTATGCTAGTGACAGATTATTAACCATTAACCGGTTCTTTCCAGAGATCTTGCTATCAATATTCAGACCTTGATTACAATAATGAAGCTGAGGTGCTCTGCAATACTTAGTATTATGGTGTAGTAATACCACTGTCATGCAGACTATACAAAGAGAACCTTCTATAATACCACACATGACACTCGTAACCATCATGTGATGGGATACATCAAGCTCAACCGGTACAGACTGGGAGCAGGCAAAGCAGTACTTGGCCTCGGAAACAGAAATGTCAATCAATTACAGATTTTGGAATGTCAGAAGGGACATGACTACATACTAGGTCCTTAGTGTCAAATTTCAAATCGTGGGAGAAGGTGAGGGAAAGGAAGCAAAATCTTCAGAGCCTTCCATAATAATAGTGCTGAAGAAAATCCAGTTTCATAATGACCCAGACTACTTAAGGAGTCTGCCATAATTTCTGTGAGATCTGTGGAATACTTGGATGTATTTCAATTATCACTGTCATTATTATTATTGCTACTTTAAGGCTTTCAAAGACTCTTGCTTCTCAGTAAATGAGGAAAAGGGCTAGGGAGATGGATATAAAACAGACCTCATTCCTAGTCATCCTAGAGATAATGTGAAGGTTGGCTATACCAAAGAGCACAATATACTCTGCGAGTCAATGCACACTTGCAGGAATATCCAGTAAACAAGTTAGATACTGTTAAAGCCTATTTTACTGCCCTGTCTGCAAGACAAACTTCATTTAGCCTTGGCAATTCTGGTTGTGCAGACTCAGGAAGAAAGAGTGCTAATATATTAAAGAATTACAAAAACATTTTGAAATACAATATTTTTCAAACGAACTTTTGAGAAACTTAAAAGCTCCTGTCTTTCACTTCAGAGCACACCAGACCAAGAAGATTGTACCATGCATTCTCCTTCTGTATTAAATGAAGGACTTGAAAGACTTTCTGAGATTTTAGATCTGTCTGTGGCACAAATCTGAATGGTTGCTATGTAGCCTTTGATTCAGTAAAATTGTGGTAAACTGCTTTTATTAAGGGCAGTTACTCAGTTCTTGGATTTGTCATGTTAGTCTGTTTGGTGGAGTTGATGTAATGGTCACGGTGGAGGACAAGCTATGGAAGTAATGGTAAATGTCATATGCAAAATAATCACCACCAACAGCATAAATATATCTACAGTTTGTTCAGCGTTTGTGCTCGACCTTGCAGTCATAGACATATGTTGAATTACACATTCCTTTGCACTGTTGTTATCACCCATGACTTTTTAAAATCAGATTTGCTTAAAAGGGGTTCTAGCATGAATGCAGCTAACAAGCATTTCTGACCACAACAAGCAAAAGGGACACACACTAAGAGTACAACATATTGCATGGGATGTCAAAACTGATATGTAACACAGCAGTAGGAAAGACCAGCACTGATCAAAACCATTTGTCCATAAGGGTTCCTTCTTACAGTTCATACTGTGAAGCAGAGTCATCCTGATTTCTCCTAGCAGGGAGTACAGCTGGTCCTACTGCTGCATAAAATGGATTTCCAGCATGGAAGAAAGGAAGGAGAAGATCCCTATAGAGTTATCTCTTCTTTAGTAGTTCACAGTAAGGAAGTTATATCCTTATTCAACACATTTGTTTATTTTCTTCTGAATGTTGCATTGGCTGCAATGTAACTAGGAAGAATAAGAATGTAAGTGGGCTGCAATGTAACTGTGAAGAGAAAATGTAGACCTACATGCAAACAGAAGCTTAGGCAATACATTATATCACCTCAGGTACAACTTTTACTGATGGATAATATCTCCCTGCTGTAGAGATTCATGCAGTTTTCAGTATTTTATAGTTTTTGTCCTTCACTTCTTTATTAAGAAGGACCCTGTCCAGAACTGTGGGTTGGACAGTGCTAGTGATACGGTGATTGGAACTTGGCTGTGTGCAGGTAACATTGCTACCTGATAGCAATCTCTTTTTCCTTTATTTTGAATAAATTCCACTCATTCCCCAGTATATAGCTAGGCCGTATAAGTGGCACACGTCTGCGAGAAATGTCAATGGTTGGCAATTACCCACGGGTCCAAAATTTAGAGCACAGTGATCTGGGATAAATGTGCTGGAACTGTTACACAGATGGGGAAACATACAGTTAATTCTTAAACACAAGATTATCAACCGGATAATCTTAACGCTAGGTCACCAAAAACCTTTTTTCCAAAGAATTATAGCATTTACCTTCAGTCCTGTCCGGTAGTTTCCCACTTTTACTTGTTGTTCCAGTGTTGACTGTTTCAGATGAGGTGCTCAGTTTGGTGTTGGGGTCTCGCTTAGGTTTTGGAGGCGGCTGCTTACGAGAGCTGCTAGTTTCATCATCAGTTCCTCCAACAGAATGAAGAGACTGGGATCTCACTGTAAAGCCACTGGAGCAAGGATGTGGCAGTCTGTCCTGAGGAGCAGGCATTGTCATAAATCCCATGCGGAAATGTTTCCCCACGTAGCTTCCTTCATTTCCTCTTGCTACTTCTCCGCCTATGCTGTAAGAGAAAATACACACGTAAGTGACCCACCTTTGCCTGAACTGTACCTGGAACCAGAGTCTCAGTTCTGCTTTTGATGAGCAGATTGTACTTTTGAATTTGGAAACCAGTAATGCTCTTCTCATTTCTCGAGATAACTACTAGAATAGAGCGGTCTATTTCTCAACATAAGTTGCCAAGAACTGAAATGTACATACACCACTATGCACTCACTCAGAATTTTACAAAAAAAAATTGAGAAAAGCTTTTGTTCAGGTTTCACAGCATTATGTCTAGAAATTGCCTACAGAAAAATTTCAAACATCAGAAGTCAGAACTCAGTTTTCAGAAGGACAAGAGACCGCAAGTAGGGCAAAGAATAATACTGCTATAGAAATGCAACATCGTGTATTGATCCATAGTCTCTTGCACTCATCTTTAACTATAGACATTCATGTACCTTGGAAAACAAGGCTCTTGGGGTCCAGTCAATCATTTCCCTTCAGATTAAAGAATGATAAGAGAAAGAAGTGCTCAAAAAATTACATGTATATAGGAAACTGAGTATTAACATCTCATCAGATCCACCTGAAGCTGCAACATGAGCAGCATGAGACTAGTAAGATGCAAATATAGGAGATGAAAAGGCAATGGGCTGAGGGACACCAAGAAGAAAATAACCTCCAAACGTTCAGAAACACAGACGCAGAAGAAGGAAAGCTCAGCTGAAAAAAGTGCTATCATACCAAGTACTACATTGTACCATGGATGGCAGGACTGAGAATCGGGTATTATTCCTACTATAGTCATGCATGCTTATCAGTTCCGAACCACAGCTCTTACTGATGCTTTACTGCAAATCCACAGCACAGTTCAATTAAGGCAATTCACTGAGTACACAAAAAAACTAGGCAACACACACAGGTCAACATGGGACTGTTTGCATGGAGGTTTGAAATGGTATGTGCCACTGTGAGCATGTAGAAATGTCAGTATGAGAACTGCAAAGCCCTGGAAAGCCCTAATTACCTCCTGTTTCTCCTTCACATAGAGTGAACCAATAAGCAGGGTCAGTCTGCTCCTCTGTAAGTTTCCTATTCAGTGTTGCCTTGGGCTGCTGCAGTTTACTTGCTTCTGGAACACATTTCCTTCTTTAAAAGACAAGAACATTTTCAACAGTTCATGTGAAGAGTAAGGTCACTTCATTCCCTGACGCTGTCCCCTATCTTCATTGTACGTAACACACAAGCTGTACCTAATTGTCCTAAAAGCACCAGATTGGCACCATGCAACTTTGTGCATGATAAAGCAGAGCCTTTTTTTGCTTATTACTGACCTTGCATTTTTATTTATTTTCCACGAGTGGAGAGGTCCACTTTCCAAATCGGTAACAAGTGAACAGGTCTAACTGAACGCGTGCCACTCCCCACCTGCCTGCACATGTATACGCCACACACCTGCACGCACGCATGCCACGCATATGCACGCACTGGTCCATGTTCATAACTGAGTTATTACTGAATCCTAATTGACATCAATTCCAGAGGGATTTGCAGACATAAAGATCAAAAGGTAGAACTCATTATTTTGAAGATTAATAAAAAACCTGTAGCTAATTTAAATGATTAACTATGTCTCCACTAATCTTGCATAAATTGTTCTGAAAATAATATAATCCTCTGATGCTGGACTACAAAAAGGGCCTGTCACGTTATTTAGAGAAGATTACTATCCAAACATGCTGAAGAACGCAGGTGGGGAGTCTGCTTCCTTCCTTAAGTCCACTGGACAAACCACATTTAGCAAACAGAATTTCAGTTTGCCATGTCTCTGACATTAAAATTCTCATCAAGTTACACTATTTAATTAGTGCATTTACTTCACTACTGCATAAAGGTGTTTAAACCACACACTGTAAGACAGATTCCATTATGGATAGACTTGCACAACTTCCAGTGAGTTTTCACCCTTTTCCTGAGAATACACAGAACTGCATTTATATGAAGAGGGGGTTTTTGCCAAACTGCTGTATCCTGTACCCCAGAAATAAGAATTTTCAAAACATAAGTCCAATCTCTAAACACATATATCTCATTAAACAACTGAATTGTGTCATTTCCTTCCCTTCCCATATTTTTTCATTCTTTACTGAATTCCTTTCAACGTCACAGATGAAAACCTTTTTCACCCGCTTCCTATGCTTACTCCAGAATATACAGCCTATAGTCAGGTCAGAGAGAGGTTGCAGGTACAGATGGGAACAGACCTTGCTATTCTGCTTCATGGCTGAAGTAGATCTGGTCTTGCTTTTCTATATTCTCTGCTCAGCTACTAGACAAAATCAGCAGGGCACCATTTCCCTCTTTTCAGCCATGTGTAAAAGACAGTCCATTTCTCTTTCAGTGTAGTAACCAACCTTCAGCTGGTGGTTAGGCACTGTAAACTCCAAGCTGAAGAAGACTAGCCGCTAATTCTTGGTCCTGGGCCATGGTCATCAGTCAGCATGACAAAAAAGCTTATGTTTGGGACTTATGCTGGTAGTGACTCCTGAGTGTCGGTCAGCGGGTGTTTCCTAGCAGAGTTTGACTAGTAAGTGCAAGTGTAACACTAGGAGGAGTGCCAAGGTTCACATATTGGTAATAGAGACTGAAATCCACCATGGTGCACAGACAAAGGAGTCACTGCAGACTCATACCCAGAGCACAAATACAAAAGCTGGATGGCAGATTTCAAACAAGGCATTCCCTGCCCTCAGGCAGCAGCATGCCAGTGCTCCATTCGGACTTGTGGAATGCAGCTTTGCAATGCACAATGCTGCTGATATTACACCATGAAACCAGACAGAAAGGATTTGTTTATATACTCCTCTTGCCTGCGACCACAGGAGTTGGCTGGGGCTGGTGTATGTCCCACTACAGCACAACAGGCAGAGAAAGATTTACTCATACCTTGCTGCATAAATGACTCCAGAAGCAGTGAGGGAAAATAATTGTGTAGCTCTCACTCCATTATTTCTGACAGGAAAGAGCCTGTGCTCCTCATTGTACTGATAATGAGTTCCATCTCATTTCAAAACTGTATTATGTGAGTTGCTGCAAGTATTACACAGTTTATTAATATATACAGAAATTCAGATTTGGATTATTCCTCTGGGAAGTTTCAATTTGAACTTGGCCAGGTTCAACTGCTTCTCTGACAAAGAATTATGTACAGCGTTCAAATAACCGTTAAAAAGGCAAGTCATTTGTCTGCAAAGAGAGACATGAATTATATAATAACAAAATAAATCATACAATCACTCACGTTACACACTTACAGTAAACCTGACTTTGTGCTGAAAATGCACTTTGGCATTTGCCTAGGTCTAGTGACCGACGCTGCACTGGATGGAAGAAAGGGCAGTGCAGTGAGGTTGGCTCCAGACACCCTTAAAAAAAAACTGTTCTGAAGCAGCTCTTCTTTCAAGAACAAGTTATGGGACATCTCCAAAGCCTACTTAACAAGTCTGATGGAGACCATTGAGTGCTGCCAGATTACATGCTCCCTCCTTGGGTGCACTGTTCTCATCCCTCTCCCTCCTCCACACAGTACTGGAATTGAATCATTATAGCAAATACCAAAGCAGTTGGATCTGCCTCAAAACAGTAATAGCGGATTTCAGCTTTTGTTTCTAAAATATGCACAAGAGCTCCAAATGGTGGATCTGACAAGTCTTGTTATACCTCCAACACAGGTTTTATCTGTCAGCTGAGATTTCTGAGGTCAGAACTGGGCTAACATAAAACCATTCCAACCTTGCTGTTTCTTACTGTGGTATCAGCCTACCTGCAAATAAGCTGTGATCACTGTGGTTCTGGACACATTACAGATCAGCTTATTGTGCTCTGCCTGCTCTGGTCTAGCAAGTAGATATGGGAGCACTGACCAAACTACGGCATGGAATAACTGAAATGCTTATGTGTTTGAAGAACTACAGAGGGCAATGTCTTTTGTATTATTCATTTTATTACTTATCACAAGAAGCGAAGTTATAGGAGAAGACTAAACATTAAAAATGAACTCTGAAAATACTGCAAATGGACAAAGCGTGGGCCAGGTCATTTTCACCTTGCTTTGCCACGACTCATAATGTTCCTATTGACTAGGAATATATTTTCAAGTTGTCAAGTTCTCACCACTTAGCAAAGACATGGCAAAGAAAAATTATCTGGAGACTGCCTGCCCCAATCAATGTGCTCTTTTTTGTTTGCAGTGTTACTACTTTGCACTGCAAGTAAGTTTTAATTTGCTGTTGAGTTTCATTACTTGGACCAGGCAAAATTTAATTAATTCCTGGAAAAAAAAAACCTCAGAGTTGTGTGAAAACTTTTGTTTTACTTGGTGTTACTGCTTTAACTACAAACAATGTGGAATATTAAATCCCTTAGTGTAGTTCTAAGGAGTAGGAGAATTCTTAGGAATATCTAAGCCCCATAAAGTCAGAATACCCTAAAGGTACATTTTTGTCCCAGCTATCTATCCATCCTTGGCTCTTGGTATTCAACCAGAAATTCTCTTATCAGTTCAGACTTAAAATGGATTAGTTTCATGCCTCAGGCACCAAGAACCACTTGTTAGTTCTCCTCATCTTTGTATAGTTTCTATTTTTCTTCCTGTGTTCCTTTACATGAGATTTTTTCACTTGTTATCCACAAGTTCAAAAGGGGAACTACACCTAATTATGAAACTTGATCTCCTAAGCAGGAGGAAAGGGAATGTACCCTGCTGGTGACAAATGTACTCTAAGGAGTGACACTCCAGACAACCAAGAGAAGCCATTTCAATAGCAGCTGCTCACTCTTCTTGTGAGGAAGACTCAGTCACAGACACTGATTTGTTACCTGGCAGAAACTGAGCTGAGAGTCTCTGCAAGCTCCTCTGCAAAAGTGGGGAGAACTGAGTTACAAGGCAAACAATGCACATGGATGGCCAGACCTCTTCTCTCTGGGGAGCTGCAAGCCCATGCAGTCCTACCCCACCATGACATGCATCTAATCCCTCAGGGAAGCTGTTTGAGTCAGAGACTGAAGTTAGGTCCCAAAAAATTAACTGTGATGCTGTAGGAAGATTTTTTATAAGCCCATCATAAAAATGACTAATCATCCACAAAAATACAAAAGGAATAAAAATACTTCACTCAGGGATTGTCTATGAGCTGGCTCGACTGAGCAAACAGCAGTTCATCCCTTGGTGCATCTACCTTTTTTGGGTTAAGAGAATAGCTATTGTTATTTTAACCACTTCCTTACTCATACATCTTCCGCTCATATCAAATGTTCTGAGTATAAAGGGCTGAAATGGCTTTGAAATGTCTATTCCCCATCAGAATAAATTATACACACATATACTAAGGATGACACATTTTACTTTGTATCTGAGAAGCACTTTCAAGATTAGCATAAATTATATTTGTAAATTAGAGGTTGGATGCCAAAAAACAGAAGATACACTATTTTTATCCCCCTAAACATGATTTCAGCAGACCATGAAATGTAATACTGAAGAAAGAAGGGCAGGATCACAATCATGGATTCAGAAACTGCACTGTAAGTATGGTTTTACACAAATCCATGCCATTTTCATTATAGAAATTGAACATAAAAACAAATTACTTTTTTTTTCCCTCTTCTTCCCTTTTCCTTTTTTTAATCACACTTCAAAGGTCCCTCTCCTTATTCCAAAAGACTCCAAATGACCCACAATCTTACATCAAAATCCAGAGGCTCATACTACCATCCTTTTAGATAGGCTCAAGTGCAAATGAATCATGACAAAGGTCAAATTTAGAGTCATTTTGTGCACCTGGAGGACTATCTGAAGTGAGCATCTGCCATGCCTGTGCACATCAAACATCTTACCTATGCCATATGCCTCTGCTTTTGAGGTAGGAGATCAGGTGCTGCTTAAGTCATCAGGCCTCTCAGGACACAGAACACATCAGTACTATAAAATTTTATTCTTTTACCACCCCTATCAAACCCACAGTCCCAGGGTTTGAACCTGCAAACATGAAGTGAGCTGACACCCCCTCCTCCTGTATCTGCATTGCTGCACTGGAATAACTAGGAAGCCTTGCAGAAACTGGTTGATGGTTGTGCCTCTGTTCTAAGCAATACCACTTGTTAGGGTGTGCTCACATAGTCTGACACTAGATTATGTCTAGGAATTCATTTCTTCAAGCCAACCTGTATGTGGAACAGAACCCTAACAGCACTCTGTGCTGCTGTCAAGAGTCTGGCTCCTGCCATCCACAGAAGGATTGAATCTTGCATGCAGTTGATTTTCCAGATCAATCTGAACCACCAAGTGCTGCGGCTGCACTGTAAGACTGAGTCCCTGGTGAGCAACCAAAAGACAGCTATAATTCCCACGCAGTACACAATGAACAGTAACAGCAAAACTAACCAAGACTGTCCACAGCAGGTCTTCCCTAAGATGTCAGATAGCATAATTTCAAATTATGATCTTTGATGCTCCACAGCCAACAATTTTTATAACACAAAAGGCTGAAAATGCTAGCAATAGCTAGGGTTTAGGGGGAAAAAAAAAATCAAAATCAAACCAAAACAAGCCTGAAAGACTTTATGAGAAACACTGATAAATAAAAACTATGTGCACTATTTTTATAACAAATCTAATGAGCTAGACAGCTTGGAAAGGAGTAATGGAGGAGTTAAGGACCTTCTGATCCACCAAGAGTTGAATAAAGCTGTACTTCATAAGTCTGAATAGAAGTGCAGGTACTACTTCTGATTTCCAGTGTCATTTCTTCTGTCTTCAGTAGGCTGCCTCCTTAACCAGGGACTAACAATGGGCATGTTGGGCTGAAAAGCCACAATGGCCTGATGTTGCTTTCCTCAGAACACCAACCTTCGCTACTGTATAGGGGGCAGCAGACCTCCAGTGCTCCAGCCCTGTGCATGACTGGTGGCTAACTGATGCATATGGAAAGGTTTCTAAGTTGTGAATACAGAAGACGTTTAACAGGCAGGAGTGAAAAGTGCTCTGCTTTTATATGACTACGGATATTTTTAATTTTGCATGGGAGATGCACAGCTAAAAGCCAGTAAATGAAAGCTCATATGTTCAGAGTCACCTAGAATTAGACATCAACCATATGCAATGTTTAAACTGAGTGCAAATGCATGTTCGTGTTAATGGAGTGGGGGTTTGCATCCTGTCAAAAACGGGAGGAGCTAGAACAAGGCTGTGTTTTTGTCACATTCAGTGGAAGGCCACATGGCGCAGACTCCACTCTGCCTGAGCAACTGAGGCTAAGTAAATATTTCAATGAGATATGGGAATAAATTAACATACAAAATCAGTTTTGTGGATTTTTGTAAGAAGATGTTTCTTTGGCTTTGAGTCGAAGAGTTGTAATGGAAGGAAATTGTGTAAAAAGTAAAAAAGCCTTCCTGTGGATCAGATGCTGGGAAAAGTTTAAACCTGGACAAATTAATGAAATGTGCCAACACTCTAAGAACAGTGATTTGTAAACCAAGTACACTGAGCCTGCCGAGATATTACAGTGTCTAACCTTTCCAGATTCAGGCTTATGTCAAACAGTGATTGTACAGCTGCTCCTCTGAGTCCCTCAAGCAAACATGACTCTACTTTCTATTTAAAATCCAAGCTCAAATACAAGGAAATTAAGGTTTTAAGTAAATGCTTCCTATGGCCTCCAGTGCTAGACAGAAAGGAGTTTGATCCAGACCCGGCAGTGAACAGGAATAACAACATTTTGTTTGGGAGAAAAACTTAAATTTCACTTCAGCATGGCAAAACATATAGATTTCTTCTGTTCAGCTACTGACCTGATACTCCAGTTATTCACATAATTCTTCTGATACGATTATAATTCATAACACTCAGTTCAAAATATAGTCCCTGGGCTAGCTTGGCTCTCTGTTTTCTTTTATAAATGTCATGTGAGTTGGTAAGAAAGGGAGAGGCACTGCCTGATCTACAGAGCCTGGGAGGAGGTGTCCATACCACAGTCACAGTAGGGATGCGACATGGATACAGGCTCCACTGACAGGACAGTGTTGTGCAAAGATTTGTCTTTTGGCAGCTCACCATTCCAGATCTGTTATATTCATACAGGGTAATTTTGCTTCCAGACACCTCAGCACAAGGCAAAGCTCACAGAATCACAGAATAGTTTGGGTTGGAAGGAACCCTCAAAGGTCATCTAGTCAGGGGAATGTACAGTACAAGTTCTTACAGAAGAGCACAAGGCTTTCTTGGGTATTTTTCCTCACTTACAATGTCTCTGTGTGCTGAACTGGTCTTTGCACAGGAAACAAACATTTAACTTAGTGCAGCTTACCCCCCCTAACTACATAAATACTCTGCTGGATACATCACCTTGCTGTCACAGGTGCTGAAACCCATAGAAAGCTTCGTCAGAAGATCCTTTTTTGCACTGGAAAAGCCCTGCTGGAGTCCATTGCCTCAACTGTATAGCTAGCATTACTAACCATGTGCTAGTAAGTATCCACGTCACCATCTCTGTCTTTTCCGATTTCTGAAGGGAAAGTTTCAGCTCATTTGTCAATCACCACATTGCCATTTAACTGGAGAGCATGAATATCTGTCTGTGCCTTGCAACATGAACAAAGACTCCTAAAACTAAGTGAAACATTTTTCAGAGCTGTGATTAACCCAGAAACAGGAAAGGGAATCACTCCATATGGACGTATGCACTGGTCTCTCTCTCTCTTTCCTTCTTCTCTAGACAGTCTCAACCTGGTAAATAAAATTACATGAAACCCTGTACATCAGTATCAACAGTTCTCCAGGTCAAATCCTGGAGAGGCTTGTTCACAAAGATACAAAGTTGCTTGGAAAATCTCTCTGCTTACATCACTTTTTTATCCATAGCAAAGTGACCATTATTGCCACATCAGAGTATTAATGACCTTCACACCTAAATTTAGAAATAATGATATAAACCATTGTCTTGATGGATGTCAGTTCCTTAGCCAGCGTTGTCAGAAGCTGGTTATTTGTTCAGAGAAATAAATAAAAGAAGACTTTATGTTTTCAGAAACATAGTTGATTTAATATTGCATTGCAGAGTGTGTGAAAAACAAGTGTAATGGTCATATAGGTGGTTAGGACTTAGTGATTTCAGTAAGGACACCGAAAGAAGCTAACCAGCAAATGTATAGCTTGTTCCATGCATGCATGTACCCAGAATGCCCCTGAACCAATTCCACCCTTAGGGTCTTCCAATATACCCAGTGCATGTTCCATTTAGAAATTCAGGTGGATTGTCCAAATGTAAAGTACAGAATCTCTTCTCATGTGTGTATCCACACACAGAGCTAATGGGCCAGATCCACTAACTCTAGCAGCCTACTAAAAGGTCTCTATGTATATAGGAATTTAACACCAGAGACAACTGGCTACAATAAAAGCTGCCAATAAACTGCCAAAGCTTCCAAAAATCAGCACATGCTGATTTTCATCACTCTCAGAATTACTTTTACAAATGGGGATGTGCAGCTAATTATTACTTTTTGGTCACTGCTGTCTTGAGATTTTTCGTTTGTTTTTTTTTTTTTTTTTTCTTGCAGGGGTAGCTTTTTGCCACACAGTTGAACAAAAAATACATCCAACAAGCTCTGATACTGAAGGAAGGCAGGACTCATATGCTCCTCTAGTGACATACACTTACACTGCCCAAAGGATTATTACTATTAGGCTATGAAGCTGCGGTGAAATGAAATTTTGCTAAAGCAACAGTCAAGTATGTGTTCCAAGCTGTGAAAATCTGTGTGAGGATTATTTTAGGGACTTAAAACATTGAGACAAAGAGCATTCAATGGTATAAAGGTAAACTGAGTGGGCAACATACTAGTTCAGTTCCCTCCATGAGAGGGAAAAGCCCTTTTGAAAAGTATTCTATCTAGAAACCATAACCCTGACATAATATGAACTGGTTTTCCATCTCCCAATGCTACACTGCAGGCAGCAGTCTACTTAAGCCAGCAAGATGCTCAGAGATACCTTGCATGTATGTATGTATGTATGTACCAAGGATTGCTGCCCCAATCAGCTGCTTTGCAAACTAGGCAGCACAGAGGGATATTTGTGTGCCTTTAGTAAGAGCAATTCAACTTTGGGGGTTTTATTTATTTTATATACTATTGTTTCTGCTCTAGAATACATGATGCTCCTTTCCCTGCCCTGCTGCCCAGTGCCCACACAGGACACAGAAGCCTGCTGCTGTGTGCTCATTGCACTGGCTATGCCAGGATTCCAAGTTTTGTAATGCTAAACCAAAATAAAACTTCCTTCAAGATGGTCTTGTGATTAAAACCTTAAACCAGAGCAGCCTCGACTCAAACATTTGGGGCCATTATGTATAGTACTGGATCAGTCAGGCTTTCAAGTCCTACAGAGAGCTCATGGCAACATTATCTTTTAGTAGGCACTGTCACCCACTTACTAAATGCAGTAAAGGGCTACTGAGTTCTATGAAGGATGAACTACACTGGACTTCACACACATGCTTCTGTGAATTTGCTTGGGAAATGGTTTTCTAGGCTACCTAGAATGGCATGCAGAAATGTTAATGTTTCTGGTGATGTCTAACTCATTATTCTGGTCTCTAGAATCTCTTTGTATCTTATTTTTTACTCAGTAA